GTAAGTGAATTTCATAAACCAAAAGGAAATGTACAGAGGTAAACCCCGTTACAAATATACCCAACCAGATTCAAAAGAACAAAATGGAAAGGGGATGGAAGTTCTTCTTCTTGACAGAAGCAGAAAAACAACCAACCCCTAAGGACAATCTTACTTGCAGCATTCTCTAGCCCTTTTCATTAGCATCTGTAAAGAACTGTAACTGTTTTCGGTTCAATATTTTTTCCTTTCTAATATTCTTGGCTAAGTAATAAAAATGAATTTACAAACGGTACAAAACTCTCATCTATGCGGGTAAGCGATAGAAAATCTTATGTTCATTATAAGTGTTTAGATCAATTGGAATGTTTGTCATAGACCGAAAACTCCTATAGAGGATATAGCGGGCTGTTGATACTATTTAATGACTCATCTTCCCTGCTAGTAACTTGGGTCCAACCATTTTAGAGAAGCTAATTTTCGAAGTAAAAGAGCAAATATCATTGTTTTAGATCCGACCCTTCTCAACAATTGTTCGCGGAATAAGTTAGATAAATATGTTGAGGCTTAACCCTAAATCCCAACACCATTGACATCCAACACTAAGTTTCTTAAAACCTGAAGCATGTAGCCTACGAGATTCACACACCAGAATGCCTGAAGTATCCTAAAACCCAGTATCTTTAACTTCCTCTGAACTGTCCATAAAACTCATATTCTAAACCTAGAAAACTCTGTGCTCTAAGTCTCTTAGGTTTAAGGTTTCAGAAAATCCGGCAGATTCCAACTTCACGAAGAAGCCCAATTTTTATTTTTATTTTTCGTTTTGGTCAAGCACCACATAGATGACGAAATTCGAATTCACAATCTTAAAGTCCAACAGACAATCATTAGATCAATCGCAAACCTCAAAAATCCCAAAGTTCAGCCCTTGATTTTTATTAGGAAAACCACTCGACCCTGAGTCTGACCTCAAGTTCGGCCAACACGGCTACTGAAAGGATCCATTTTTTGGAAGAGGAAAATACTGAAAGGATAGAGAAAGATTCTGAAAGAGAAAATGCTAATGCCAGCTATACTGTCCAGATTACATACTGTACAAAGGTCAAAAGCAGGCTAGTCCTATCAAATTTTATTTTATAGGCCTTTTTATTTTATTTTTTTATGAGATTTACTGTTATAACCACCCACGT